TCGCCGAAAGCAACCAACAGCTTTTATTTTGGAAAAATGAAACAAGAATTGTGAAGGACTTGTGGGCGACCTTTTCACTTTTGCTCCAGTTTTTATAAATCGGCCTTAAATAATAATAATATTCCTGAGAAATACTGTGCCTACAAGCTCAGTAATATGACATTGGCAGACTGCCTGGACTGCACCCCTATCAGGCCAGATGGACGTGTACTGAAGTCACCGACCATCAGAACACAAAGATATGCTTATATCTTCTCTTTGCCTGGGGGCCAAGCCATGAATGCTCAACATTCCTCCGGATTCAAAACTAGGAGATGTATATATGATGGCAGGAGATGTAGTTTAAAAACTACATTATTTTTATTATACAGGATTTATATAGCGCCAACAGTTTGCGCAGCGCTTTACAACATATAGGGAGACCGTACAATTACAATATAATACCATACAAAGGGATTAGAAGGACCCTGTTCATGAGACCTTACAATTATTATTAATATACAGGATTTATATAGCGCCAACAGTTTGCGCAGCGCTTTACAATACAAGGACATTACAATAACATTCAAGACAAGATAGTAAGGAGGGCCCTGCCCCTGAGGGCTTACAATCTAAAAGGGAGGGGGAAGTGATACATGAGACGGTAGCTGTGAGGGGATGAATTATTTGAGAATGTGATGGTTCAGTGGTTAGGTTGCGGTGGTATAGGCTTCCCTGAAGAGATGAGTCTTTAGGGATCGCCTAAAGGCAGTCAAGGTGGGAGACAGATGGACAGGTTGGGGTAAAGAGTTCCAGAGGATGGGAGAGACTCTAGTGAAGTCCTGGAGGCGAGTATGGGAGGAGTTGATGAGGGAGCTGGAAAGCACTAGTTCTTGGGATGAGCGGAGGGGGCGGTTAGGGTGATACTTAGAGACAAGGTCTGAGATATATCCGGGGGCAGAGTTGTGGATGACTTTGTAAGTGGTTGTTAATATTTTGAATTTTATCCTTCGGGCTATTGGAAGCCAGTGGAGGGATTGACAGAGGGGGGTGGCAGACACTGAACATTTGGTTAGGTGGATGAGTCTGCCAGCTGCATTCATGATAGACCGAAGGGGGGATAGCCTGTGTAGAGGTAAGCCAATGAGGAGGGAGTTGCAATAGTCAAGACGAGATATAACAAGTGAGTGGATGAGCAGTTTTGTGGTTTCTTTGGTGAGGAAGGGGCGTATTTTGGAGATGTTACGAAGGTGAAGGCGAAGGCGGCTGGATTTGGATAGCGATTGGATGTGGGGAAGAAAGGTGAGGTCCGAGTCAAGGATGACCCCTAGGACCTTAGCATGGGAGGAGGGGTGGATAGTTGAGCTCAAGAAATTCAAGTTATAAGCTAGTGATAATAATCTACATCAAAGTAGGGTTGCCCGGTTATTTTTTCAACTAATCGATTGGCTGCATTAAAAATAATATCTCCCCCCCAACTAAACGAAAAATGAGAATAGTTGCCAACTATTCTCATAACTAATTATTATCGATTCAAATCGATTAGTTGTTGCAGCCCTACATCAAAGTCATTGTTTTTAATGTGAATCATCATATCTTCCTATAACTTTTCTCTCCAAATGACCAGCTCAGCTGTTAAACATGGCTGCTCATATTTCCTAGCGAGACCTGGCTAAAGGTGCCCATACACTGGCCAAATTGCAGACGGTCTTTAGTGTACCGGACGAAATTTGGCCAGTGTATGGGGCTGTCGGCTCCCTTTCAGCGATCAGAGCCAGCAGCCAATGAGCTGCCCGCTCTGATCGGGTATTCTGACAGTTGTTGGCAGAACCTGTCAGGATACAATGCAAACAGCGGGATTCCTCGATCGACACGCTGTTTATGTTGATGGAGGAATCGCATCAATTTCTCCCGATCAGCCTGTGGGTTGAAGGAAAAAAATTGACAGGCGTATGGCCAACTTAAGCCAGTTGAACAAACTGCACACTACCACTGGCCAGACAAAAAATGTCCCTGATTAGCGGATATCTATGAGCCAAGCTGCCAAACAGATACCCATTACCAATGGTTTATGACATGCCAATGCTACAATTTTATAACGTGTAACCACAAAAGCTATAGTGTATGGAGGGCCCCTTAACCAAGAATTAAGATAACAGAGAACAACTATAAAGCCAGGTATCCATGGTTCTATTTTTACATTCAACCTGCGGGCTCAGTGAAAAAATAGAACAGTTTATAATCGATTATGTCGATTAGTTGTTGCAGCCCTAGATTCCTCCATCAACAGCACCCACTGAGTGAAATGTATCCGGTTCATCAAGAACCAGCCAAAATTCGCTGCCTAGTTAACTTCCTGTTTGAGCAGAGAGCACAGTATCTCTGCTGCACTGCCCAGGTCTCGTTTGTTGGACTACAGAACACCTCCACTTCAACTAATCTCCATAACCTAAAATGGGGGTGTTCTTTAGTCTAGAACAGGGGTGCCCACAATTTTTTGTGTTGAGATCTACTTTTCAAATGACGAGCTACATGAGATCTACCAACGAAAAAAAAAAAAACCTTCCTCGCTCTCTCTCTCGTGGCGGTCTCTCCTCGCTCATCCTCCTGGCTGTCTCTCCTGGCCGTCTTTCCTCACCCTCTCTCTCCTGGCTGTCATTTCTCGTTTTCTCTCCTTGCTCTCTCCCCTGGCTGTCTCTCCTCGCTCTCTCCCCTGGCTATCTTTCCTCTCTCTCCTGGCCCACCTTGCTGTATTTTGCAAACAGTACAGTGACACAGGCTGTATAAACTAATATTCTTTGATGTAATACATAGCACTTCGACCACCGGTATCCACCAGAAATGTGTCAGGGAACTTGGCTCAGCAGACTCAGGCTAATAGGTAATTATGTGTGCACAGCTAAATAAATATACCAAAATCGAATAAAGGGGCCGCCATTCACACCCTTTGTGATCTACCAGCATCAGCACCCCTGGTCTAGAAGAAGAGACCTGCATAGAGCTGATAACCCTGAACGAGAGTTCAGTGCAGTAGAGGCAGTGTGTCGCCAGCTCACTCCAGGAAATTAGCAGCACACTGGATTTCTGCAAGTACTTTTGTAATTGCAGCATTTAAAAAAAAAAGAAAGAACATGGGGAAATGTGCAGGAATTGCAAAGATGTACGAAATAAGCGGTTTTATTTTGCAAAGACATGCACTCTAAAATCAGTTATGATCACATGTGGAAAGACAATGCTTGAGTAATCACTTGTAAACAGTATGTACTACCTGTGACAAAGCTCATTCAGAGAAAGAAGCTACCATGGGGGACCAGCACTATGATCACGTGACTGAAACTCTTCAATGAAGCAAGCAAGTAGGTAATGTGGTTCACATCTGTGTGTTTCAAGTGCGTTATGCATCACTGGCATGCCATTAAATATTAATGTGACTAGCGGACAACACACATAATGGGTTATAGATACACTCGGACCTCCGCTCTCTTTGGGTTGATATGCCCCACCAGTTTTGTTGCTACCCTCCGGTGAGAAGTTTATATATTGACATGTTTTCCTCTTGGATGTCTATTGTGGTTTGTTTTCCTTATAAGTGTTCCTGTATGTCTGCTTCTTTTGTTGTGTATTTGTCTTTGTTATACTTTTAAATAAAGAATAAAAAAATGAAATGGGCCCTGAAGGTTTTCCACAGAGGAGCTGTGCAGACGTGGAAACAAATGACACTTCGTCTATGGCTGCTGTCCACACAAGTGCTTCTTTATATCTGTGACCACAGTAGTGACATATCTCCCCAATCAGGACACAAATTATGGAAGAGGCCACTGCCCACTTGCTTGTGATGGTGGAGGCTCTGACCCCATTCTTGCTTCAGCAAGACGCTGGCCCGGTAAAAGCAGGCAGCCAGAGAAGGGTCAGGATACCAGAACCCTTGTTCCAGATTGTGGATTCACTTGTGTAGTAAAAATGAGGATGAGAATGACAGTCCTATGCTTGTATTAACAAAATGGTGATGAGCGCTTGTTGTTTTGATGCGTTCCCTTTGATTTATTGTATATTGTGTAAACAAACAGTGAGAGTCCAAGATGGGCAACAATATAACTGGTAGGTATGGCCGGGAGAACTTAGTGCAAGTGAAACCCCAAAGATATATCATGAGGTGGCAGGTGATTCAGCCCACCAGACTGATCCTCGAAATAGAATGAGATTGGACCCTGTACACAGGAAGAAGAGACCCCTTTATGGATTCCAATGAAGCCCACTGCTCCCCCACCTCTGCCCCCTTGCTGCTCTGTTGGTGAGGTCCCAGCACACCCCATTGGCTCATTGCACCCCATGAGTGAAAGCCCAGTGTACCCCATTGTCTCAGTGCACCCTGTGTGGGAGGGCTCAGAAAACCCCCATGTATCTGCTGTCGGGCCTTGTACACACTGTCTGCTCATTTTGCTGGCCTCTGCTGTTTTAGGCTGACTATACCGAGCAGTTCTGTGGCCGCAGTGCATTGTGGGGGTTGTAGTCCATAATTGTATTATGTCATGCTATTTATGCAGTAATTTAGCACACATGCTCCTGACATAACCCTTTTCCGGTGACTATCAATGTAATACAGCATTACACGGGGCTCTAGCTCGCCATAGACTTCCTGTCAGCAGAATATTTCCTCAGAGCCCCGTGCTAGAGACACAGTGCCCAGCATACAGCTGTTCGCCGCCATATTTCCGCACTGTAGTCTCCTCACATGTCTACACATACAAATAGTACAGGTTACACAAGCCAAGGGTTCCCTTGGTTCACACAAAAGGCACCCCCGAGTCATAAGCACACTGCATTGGACTGCAGAGGACGGGAATGAAAACCGCTGTCAGCAGTGCCCCTATTCTGTACAGACAGGTACTACATCTCCCAGAATCCTTCACACCACAAGCGACGTGCGCGCATGCGCGTCTCGAGATGTGACGCCACAGCTGTCCCAGAACTAGCTGCCCTCCCCCCACCCGCCGAGCCGCTACTCCGTTCCCCGCCGTTACCTTGCGCCCTGTCCGTGGGGAAGAGCCGCTGAGCCTTGTCCAGAAACCGCAAAGCCTTCTCCGCGTTCCCGCTCTTGATGGCTTTCAGCGCGATGGCTATACAGCGCTCCGCCTCGTCCCGGTTTGATTCCATTGCGGAATCACTGCTAATAGGAACTGGTGGGCGGCGCTCCGCGAGCACGTCATCTACATTCTGGCTCTGCTTGATGACGTCAGTAATTCAAACCCCCTCGAGGGTGACGCGGTTTACGAAAGTAAACAGCTGTCAGAGTGCTTATTTGACATGGAGGTTGTCTGTGCTGCCAGCGGATTGACAGCTGAAATGCGGAAAGATAAAACTTTACTAGGAGATTGTAAACATTCAGAACAACGTACACTGTTGACATATATGCATATAGATAGAGAGTCACTAAACATGAAGGAATCTTACTGTAAGAAACAAGACCGATGGCAGAAAATCACACTTGTTTGCCTGACTATAGGTCTTCGTCTCAAGCATGTTTAAATTCACTTAGGCCATGTTCACACTTAGCAGATCTGTGACTGCGCCACAATCTTGCACAAAACCGCACGGACACGGAATCGCACACCACCACGGATCATGCTGGTAGTGCCATTCTTTTCTAATGGCACCACAGTTGCGCCAGGCAGATTGCAGTTTTCCACCGCAATTGTACCTGAGAAAGCGGCGATCATGCGAAATGTAACTAAATGTGAATTTACCTCTTTTCAGAGATTGCCACGCCGATATAACCTCAGTGATAATCATTGGGGCCGTGCTGCAAAGACTGTGTGAAACGGCACACAAATGCACATCCCAGGTTCGCCCATGTATGCACCTAGCCTCTAGACGCATTCGCCCCAAAAGCAGAAGGAAATTGCAAGTCAATGGAGGGTCCGTTGGCTTGCAACTGTACCTTCTGATGTCGTTCTGATACGTTGCAATACGTTTTTCAACAGATGCTAACAAAAGGGCACTAGAAAGTGAATGGGGCTAGTTCACACCGAATCCATTGCGCTGAAAACAAAAAAGTGCAAGCTCTAGGTTTTTTTTTTCAGCCTAACGGAGCAGTGTGAACTAACCCCATTCACACCCATTCATTATTCGGTGCCCAGCTATCAGCATCCATTATGACTAGGGATGCACAGATACTTTTCGAGTACCAGTGCAGATACTTGGCATTTTCATGAGAACTACCAGGGTTGCAGTGGTTGCAGCTGGGACCTGGCTCTGGCGCTCCACCACTGTCCTGAAATCATTAGTCTGTATTGTTTTAGAAAAACTGTCACATGACAATAAACAAAAATGTACCAGTACTTGTAAGTACTCGGCAAGTACCAGTACTCGTACTCGCAAAACTGGTATCTGTGTATCACTTTATTTATATTTATAAAAACAAAATGATACATTAAAATAGAGATGTACAAATCCCGGGAGCTCCGTGTGCTGCTTACAAATGACAGCTGCCTCCTAACTTTTAAATTTTTCTCTAGTGTAGTCTTGGAGCTCAAAAGTATCAGTACATGTACTTGTACCGAGTACTGTACTTGGTATCTGTGCAACCCTAATTATGACAGATTGCAACGCAACAGATCCAGTGTAAATGGGTCCTTACTGTTGACTGAAACGCTATCTCTGCTGGATCAACTACTCCAAACAACAACCTATCTTTCAGTCAGGGCCGGACTGGGACAAAAAGTAGGCCCGGGCATTTTGGACTGAGCAGCCTAATCACATGACCCCTGACAGGCCCCACCCTGTCACAATCTGGGGGCAGGACCAAACATTGCACAATCGAGGGGAGGGACCAGGTGCCTAAGGCGGCAGCCTAATTACAGGGGACTCTATATATACTGTATATATAATATAGTCTCTATACTGGCACGTACAGTACTGGCTCTATAGGGGACAAGCAAGTATAGGATAAATATGGGTCCATGGTGTACAAATGAGCATTCAGTAAGCAGGAACATTTGACAAAAAATTATTATAATATCACCCATATATATTACAGGTAATATTACCCATTTCTACAATGGTGTTACTGAGGATTCGTTGCCTCCAGAGCTGGCAAAGTTGGCTAGTTGTCTTTGACTGGCACAGCCAGTCCTCAAAATCCCATAGGTGGCCTTTCAATAGGCAATTGCCTTTCAATTGCCTATTGAAAGGCAACGAGTTTCCAAGAGTGGGAGTGAAAAATGGAGTAACCGGTAGCAATCTTGATGCGGTACTTATGATAAGCCATACAAGGATCCTCCTAGCACCCTCAGCCAGAGCTGGTGCAGCAGCAGTGTTGGTCCTGAACAGGACCAACACTTCCTCCTCACACCCTGCCCACCGCCATCTTATATTTTGGCCTGTGTGCCTCCTCAGTTGGCCCCATATCTCTCCCCTCAGTCTGGCCACTGTTGGTGCGGATGGCGTAGTTATCCAAGGAGATGTGCAGCCGATGCTGTAAACAAGCACCACACGGTTCACAGAAAGGCTGCCAAGGTCTCCAGCAAGTGCATGACCTCAGACAGCCCCTTCAGTTTTAGAAAAAAAAAGTGCTGGTATCGGCACTCAGTATCGGGGCATTTTCATGGGTACGAGTACTTGTGAAAATGCCCAATTTTGGCATCGATACTGGTATTGGTGCATCCCTACTGTATAATTTAATATATTGCTGGGGATATGTAGTCCTGTATAGCTGGTGGTATTTTGTATTGCTGTAACATCATTATACAGGAATGCAGAATACCACCAGTTATACAAGACTACAAATCCCCGCAATACTGAATACCACCGGCAACTAAAGAGGACTACATATCCCAGCAAAACATACAGCAATGCAGAATGGCACTGGCTATAGAGGACTACAAATCCCAGCAATACTCTATACAACAATGCAGTATAATATAACGCTATATACTCTATGTTGCTTCAAGTTCGCAGTCTGATGTCTCCTGGGTCTCAGGAAGGCTGTGCGGGCTCTCAAGGTGGTCGGTGCAAGCTCTCAGGTGGTCAGCGTGGCCTGTGGTGGTCAGTGGGGCTCTCACCTGCTGGTACCTTGCTGGTGGCTGCAGGCTCAGCAGATGCGGATCTCCACTCAGGCGGCCGCTCGCTCCTCACTAGGGCTCCGAGAGAACCCTCTAACATGCCTGTTTAGAGAGCAGCCTCTGCCTGATCTGGCCAGCCCGGACCGCCTCGATCATATGGCGGCGATCTCTAGTTATCACAAAGCAGGCCATCAGGCTTAGTAGGATGATTGAGTTCTGCCCGGCCCTCCGGGCAAGTGCCCATACTGACCAATGGCCAGTCAGGCCCTGCTATAAGTAATATAATAATGAAAAAATAATATACTATCCTGTAAGGTTAGTTTTGAACGTTCCTCCAGCTAGTTTAAAGTCATGTCCCTGTGTTCTTGAACTTAGGTTCATGTTAAAAATGTTGCCTGGCTGAACTTCAGGTAGGGTATACACAGTTATATATAACAGATTCCACTGTCAACGATTACAGACCTGGATTGCTGAATCCCCGGCTGTTTACAGTGTATTCTGACAGCAGACACCGCCCGAAGACCATGCAACATGCTCTCCGGTAGGGATGTGCCGATACCGCTTTTTCAGCAACGAGTAGCGATATTTTTTTCCCGGAACTCACTGATACCGGCATCCCGGGGTACCGTTAACCTGGCTTTCTCAAGAAGTTGTCCCGCCGCCTGGGAAGCTGGTGTTCTATTGAAAGAACACCGGCTTTATTTTCTGAGGCAGCCTGGATTTCTGACCAATCAAGAAGCAGGGCGGCACTTCATGACCCGCTTCCCTGATTGGCTAGGAAGCTAACTTCACTTGTTGCCAGACAGCCTGGCTTCCTGACCAATCGGGAAGCAGGGCAGCGGGTCATGACGTGCCACCCGGCTTCCTGATTGGTCAGGAAGCCAGGCAGCCTAGCAACAAGTGAAGCTGGCTTCCTAGCCAATCAGGGAAGCGGGTCATGACGTGCCACCCAGCTTCCGGATTGGTCAGGAAGCCAGGCTGCTAACAACAAGTGAAGGAGGCTTCCTAGCCAATCAGGAAGCAGGGAGGCGAGTCATGACGCACTGCCTGGCTTCCTAATCGATCAGGAAGCCAGGCTGCTAGCAACAAGTGAAGCCGGCTTCCTAGCCAATTGGGAAGCGGGTCATTGACTTGCCGCTCAGCTTCCTGATTTGCCGGAAAGCCAGCTCCACGCTTCCTCGCTGCACTGCCGGCCAGAGGGAATCTCCCTCTGACCATACATTTCAGTATCGCCGGAAGTGTCAGAGCATGTGGGCAAGTACTTGCCGAAATACTCGGTATTGCCATTGATGCATCCCTACTTTCTGGCAAAAGTTGATCTAATTACCCACTTCTGATGATGCAATAGGGTCACCAACACAGCAATTTTGTCCAATTCAGCAGGAATTCGCTGCATGTGTACCCAGCTTTAGTCACAACATTCATGTGTTTATAGGTTTCAGTCATACTTCCAGTTAGACTTGTTCTCCCATATCTTACTTTCTGTAAGTGAGATCTCCAGAATTAGACACAGTATTCTAAATGAGGTCTGAAGCCTCATCTACACTATACGATTTAGGAGTCCTGCCATCGGAACCCCAGATCTCCCATTCAGATGTGGCCAGTGGCACCATCTAACCGGTGGACAGCGGCCACATCTGTAAGCATCTGTCACGGGAAGCAGGATAAATGCGTCCAGGGATAGTGATCTATTCCACATCACATGTAATCGTATGATATATACGATTACATGCATACTGCCGTATACATGTGCGGCTGCTGTCACTCCGTAGTGTTCCTGCCGCAGGAATCTCAAATCGCATAGTGTGAATATACTTTTACAAAAGGATCTGCAAAGGAGAATCAGGACCTTCTTCCTCCTGCTGTACAGTCATACAGTGGGTCTTATTTTTGGATGTAAAAGTATATCTAAAGGCAAAAGAGCGGGAATTGATAAAGCCTGTTTGTTTTTTATCATCTGTGTCCCACTGCAGAGAATTTCCCTTCACTTCCTGTCCCAGATACACAACAGGAAGTAAGAGGAAATGTCCCCAAAGTTGTTTAAATGCCCTCTTAGTTGTCACCTGAACAAATGATCCTATTAGATGATTTTCCCTGATTTTAAGTCTCAGTGACAATGGTCATCAGGCCAGAAAGAATGAATCTCCTACGCAGGGACACACAGCAATATTAA